TGACGCAGTTTTATGTTTGAAGACTGAATCACCTCCAGCTGCTCTCACATCTGCAGAGATACATGGTAAACATTTTCTCTCCAAAGGTTTTCATCCTGACTCTGAGGACCTGATGGATTCACGGTCGAGTCCTCAAAATATTTCTCTGCATCCACAGTTGTCTGGTTATAGAAGGAAGTTTTGGTGACAGATTGATCCGACAAACAGTTAAAATCTGACTCAAAGGTCCCGCCTATGTTTCTTATTTAATGTAAAAACAAAATCAGTTCAGCTACATCTTTACATTTTAAAGTTAACCAAACTGGGTCATCAGTGTGAGGCCAAAGTCACATCTAAATGTCTTCTGTTAACTTGAGACTTCTGTTATTTCCTGTACTATCATGTGTGAGCCATAACAGGCAAAATAAACCTGCACCAACTAAAAGAAAAGTCCCCATATGACCCACTTCCCCATACGATCGGGAAAATCCAAATCCAACCTAACAAAGGTCTGACTGTCATATCAGACCTGTGAAAGAGACGCCCCCGCCACCGCGCCGTTCGACCACATGCTCCCCTGTAATGTTTTTAAAAACAAGCACTCAGAGGGTCGCTGATCCTTTGGTTAATGTTTGCTTTATGATATTTTCCACCTCAGGTCCTCTCACAGAGGTGACAGTTGTTTTGTTGTTGTGTGCTCGGGGTTCATCTGCTTCTTAGAAGTTCTGCCATTTCTGTGGTTTTAACTTCCCTTTGTGTCAGCTCAAACTCCAGTCTTTATTTCAAGACTCACGATTCTTTATTGTCATTATGTAGGCACAACAAAACATACAGTTATACTCCCTCACGTGGTGCACAACATTTAATTAACAGATAAATGTAGTGATGTATAAAAAGTCTAAGTAAATATATACAGATACATATACTCATGCCTACATAAGTACACAAAAATAACAAATGCATGTATGACTATAAAGGCAAAAGCAATAGGAATGAACATGAGATATTCACAGACTATGAAATGTACACAAAAAACTGATGATTACATGAGAATATGTGTATATCAGGATGTAAACATGCAGAATCAAAGTAGAATATTGCAGTTTTTACTTGTGTAGTAACATTTTATTACTATAATTTAGTTCCAAATACATTACAGAGAAACAAAATATTTTTTTTTAATAGTTTATAACCATTAACAGGTTAAGCAGAACTTAAATGCCAAGTTAGCCATTAATGTCAATGTCACGCTTCCGGCTGTCCCCGGATCTCCATGCAAGTCTTACAATGGGATGATTGTAAGACTTGCATCAAACTACTGTGGAAAATTCACCTCACAGCAGAAGTGAAAGCAGTTAAAAGTAAGAGAATACAGAAACAGGCTTTCAGTGGAAACAGCGGCTTGGCAGCTGAAAAGGAAGTGGTCTGTTAGACCCTAACATCATCATCACCTTCAGGGACACGAAAAATAGATACAAGATGAGGTCTCACTGGATTACATCGATTCTTACTGGTGAGTAAGAAAAATGCTTCGTGGTGTATCAAAAGTCTGCTTTAGGAAGGAGGCAAATTTCAATGATACTGGTGGAAATTTCACCTTCCAGCAGGTTAAAGTTGTGTCAGATGAACAAATAGATATGAGAGAGGGCGCCATGATGGCGTTACATACACTCGATGTGGTTGTACTGACTGTGGTGATGGGAGCAGGACGCTTCATTGTTGTTTTCTGATTATTTTAAATGTTAAAAAACAAAAACGAAACTACAGAAATGCTTATGAGGAGAAAAGTTCAAACATTTTCATCGAATCAAAGAACTTGGGGTCGTCAGGAAGGACT